GAGTCAGCCACTGTGCTCATCACAAACAAGGTTTCCTACCCACATGGATGCTCAGGGATCCTCCAGGATCATCCAAGGAGCAAAATTCCAGCACAGAGGATGGGGCTGGGCATGGCCAAACCTGAGGGGACTGAGATGCCTTCAGGAGTTATTTTTGGGAAGGAGAGCATTTATTAAGGCACAGCACCAAAACGCAGGAGTCTCCACTTCTATTTCCAGTTCTTCTAGTGACAGATTTTGCCTTGGGAGATGATTTTGGCTGAGACCAAGTGATGTGGGAACCCGGAGTGAGGTATTTAGGCTTCTATTCAGCCTTGGAAATGAGCAGCCAGGTTGCAAGTCACAGCAGGATTGCTTACATGAATAAAGATGATGGATACTCCTGGCTAAGGGTAGGTGCCATACAACAAAGTTTTTATCCCTGGAAAAGTCATGGCTTTCTCAGCATTTTGCTTCTGACTCAATGGAGGTTTAAATTGAGCTGCAAATACTCCCATTCTGATTTTGAGGCTCTCTGAGCACTAAAAGGCATTTGCCAATCTCTGTTCCTCTTTGCTGTGGATGCCCTTTCACCTTCACTTATTGTCATTTCTGTATTTTCCTGGCCTTTGATTTACATCAAAGTTTTAGGTACTTGAACTGCAGGGTTTTACAGAGCCCACAGCAAATGGATTTACTGGGATTGCACATAAGCATGTCAGTTTTGTTTTAGCACAATTATCAATGCCTTGTTTACGTCCCCAAAGTAATTTTCAAGTGTTTTAAATGTTTTAAGTTGTTTTTTATTGTGCAGCTCTTGAATGCCTGTAGTGAAATACTCCTTCCTTTCCAGCTTTGCCCCTTCTAATTAAACAAATCATTCCAATTTTCCAGTTCCAGGGAAAGCCATCAAAGTGGGCAACAAGCACAGTGGTTTCTTACAAGCTTCTGTCACCTCCTTGTGTTGTATCCATCTCCATCACATCCAGGAACCCAGCTGCTAATTAGTGGTGCTCCATCAGAGGAACCCCAACATTTCTGAATGTTATTTGAATAGGAGTATTTCAGGAATAAATTTAGAGGCCTTTTAAAATTCTTATGTAAATGGGCATGTAGATTCCAAGGGGGTTTCTTTTGGAAGGCAAATTAGATGATTAACCTGAGGAGCTTTATGATGATTCCATCATGTGCTTTCACTGAGGAAGAAAAATAAAAAAGAGAAGTACAACTTTCATGTTTCATGCATTTTAAGTATTTTTATTTCCAAGGGGGAGTTCAGTCATTCCTTTTTCTGTTGCTAACCTGAAGCACAGTGGATATGAAACCTGGATATGCAGATTTTGTGCTGGGATTTAAAAACTGTAATAAGAAGCTTGCACGGGTGTTTTAAGTCAACATAACCTTTGGATGTAAAGTCAGACTTTGGAGGTCTTTGGATTTACTGGTATTAGCAGCAGTCAGATTTGTACAGCTGAGTCTTGGCTGAGCTTGAAGGTCTCAGCAACAGGTGTGGGGGATGCCAGAGCAGCAGAAGGTGCTGGGGGCCTGCAGGAATGAGAGGTGGGTGAGAAAATCCAATGAGGTCCTTTTCCAACAGGAGACAGATTTCTCCTTCCTGTCACTCTGGAGAGGACACAGTGGTCCCAAACCACCCTGAACCTGTCCTGAGTTTTGGGGATGCTGGGTGCTGACTCCAGCCAGGCATCAGGCAGGACCTGTGTGCTCAGGAGGAGGATATTGTCTTCTCCAATGTTCCAAGCAGAATTGGCATCTTTAATGTAAAAATCATTAGATGGGACCTAATTAATGTTCCTTATTGCAAACTAACATTTCCCAGAGTCAGGCTGCAGACGTAATTTACTTCCATTAGATAGGTAGCTTTAAAAATTAGATTCACCCCAACTGCTACACTATTTATTGGCTTGTTTCCCTTTCCTTAGCTATCCATTATTATCTGAAGCCCTTTCCTGATCTGTCTGGGTAGATTAGGTGGAATTAAAGCAGAGTCCAGCTCAGAGGATACATGCCCTGATGTGCACGTACCTCTCAGCTTCCCTCTTCCACTCCTCTGCAGATCCCTCAAAGCCTCCCAGGAGCCACACAGACCTCAACCCCCCAAATGCAGTTTCCTTGCAGAAAGGTGCCATTCTCTGAGTCTCCTTTTCCAGCTCCCCAGAGGCTGGTGGGCCACACAGGAGCTGCATCACCCTGGAGCTATTTTGGGATGCGTGTGCAGCTCATCCTGTGCTGATCCTGCATCCCTTGCTGGCAGGACTGCTCCTTACCTGCTGGCTGGGACAGGGAGATCCCTTACCTGTTGGGACTGAGCCAGGGCAGGTTTTGTCCCTGTGGGATTTGGCCATGGATCTCCCATGCTCTGCTGGAGAAGCTGGTGCATTGCCTGCTGCCTCCTGTGCTCGGCAGAGCTGTAATTAATGCTGGCCCTGCCAGCCTCATCTGCATCAGGTCTCCCTGGCAATGGAAGCCCTGGGGAGCCCAGAGTGGAAATTGCAGCAGCTCTGAGCTGGCCCTGGGGAGCTGAGGAGCACAGAAAGGCTGGGGATGAGGCTGCAGGGATGTGCTGGAAGGGGGAGAAGCAGCACCCAGGTGTCCAACTGCTCCTGCAGCACCTGGAGCTGCCCCAGCCTCCCCATAACCACGGATTTCACAATCCATCCTTGGGATTTGAAGTGATAAAGCAATTTCTATTCCTTTTTCCCCCCCCTCTCCCATCAATATCTGTCAGCTTAACATACAGGAGTCCTCTTTTATTTTTTGTGGTGTGTGTCCCTGCGAGGACTCATGAGTTGATACTGGCTTTATTCTGGATCCATCCAAGGTGATCAACTGAGCAAACACAGTGTGCAAGCCTGCTCTGATATTGGCATTTTGCTTTTGGCCCTCCCTCAGGCACTTTACAGTGATGTTTGGTCACAAAAGTAAATACAGCTCACATTCTACTTCTTTAATCAGAAAATGCAGAATTCTCTTTTCCCTTGATCCCTTTCCATTATAGTTATTTTGTTGTTGGTTTGTTTTCCCTCTTTCTTCTCTCATTGATTATTCATTTGTTTCTCACTTCAGCACAGAAGCTTGCAGCAAAATCTGGGCCATTCCAGGAGTGCAGCAACCTAGTTGCAGCTCTGGAGTGTGGGATTCTGCTCCCCCTGCCACGGTGTGGGCAGCAGTGGGGCCCTCCTCCAGCTCCCAGGGCATGGCCCCAGCAGTGTGGAGGATGTTGGGATGGATGGATGGATGGATGGATGGATGGATGGATGGATGGATGGAGCCCATCTGACTGCAGGGCAGGTTGCGGTGGGATTGTTTATGGCAAGGGTTTTAAGAGACCAGCTTGGAGAGAAAAGATATTGAAATGGGACCTGGACAAGGCATTGAGTGACATCAGTGACATCGTGAGTGGGATTGCAAGTGAGGTTTTCTTACTCTCCTGTGGCTGTTTCAAGTGTCTGCACACCAAATCTGGTGTGAGGAGGAGAAATTTGCAGTGAGAAATCAGGCAATTATCTCCTTGATGCTGGATTCATCTTGTGGCTTGATAAAGCTCAGCCTTGGCTGAGATGGCTCTGAAGGTCCCTCGCCTCCTTCAGAGAGAAGTCTCTTCCTCACCACCACGTTTCAGCCTGTGGTTTGAATAAATATTGCAAATCTCCCTATTTTTACTTGTTACTGTGACATTAATGGTCACTGCAAAGCCACAAGCACGACCTGGTGGTGTGAAACTCCTTTTCTTTATTCACCAAAAAGCAACAGACCCCACCAGCAGAACCAAACCTTATAAATATTCACAATGCAGTTTGTAGGAATGTGAGACAAAGTCAGACAGATGAATTATTTAATGCTCTTAAAGAATGCAGCTTTTAGTTTCTCCTTGCACTGGCCTACTTTATTGTATTAGTAAATCGATCCCGAGTAAATTAATTTCCCTGCTTTTGTTGGAGCAAGCAGTGGGCAGGGGTGGCAGCCTCCATCCTTGAGCAGATGCCAGGACACCTCAGCAGCTGCGGATTCAGGCGCTGAGTGTCAGAAGAGAGCCGTGCTCCTGTCACTCATTCTGTGCCCTTTGATTTGCATCAGAACATCCAGCACTGGGCAGCCTGGATGGGGGCAGGCAGTGAGTGACAGGCTGGGCTGGCACTGCCCAGGCTGCTCCTGGGAGGCTGCCCGTGGATGGAGATGTCAGTGCTGGGGTTTGAGCATCTCCCTGATTTTGTGGTAAATTGGAGGCTGAGTTGATATCAAGGTTGTATCCCCAGAGCTTATGGCAGGATGAGGCTTCTTTTGTCCCTGAAGAGCTGGGACAGAGATCAGCCCAGCTCTCTCCCCAGTGCCAGCAGCACCAAAGTCACACTCCCTTGAGCTGGATCAAAGCCCTCTTCTGTTCCATGTCTGGCCACAGAAGAGCAGACTAACAACCACCCACCTCCCAGTGATGCTCCAGCAAACCCAAAAAGTCACCAGTCTTTCCAGGCAGCGGGGAGTTGGTGTGGAGTACCTGCCTGACAAAGGAACATTAAATCCACCCAAAAAGTGTCCTGTTCTGGCAAGAATTGCAGCACCACTTCTGTGTGAGTTTTTGTGGATGTAAATGCATAAGTAGAGCCCATGCTCTCGGGCCATGCTCTCACTCCTCAGCCAGTCTGCTCCCCTCTTATCCCAGTTAGAAATGCCCCTGCTCATTTGGGTGCTTTTGGATGTGTGTTGCTGAAAGAGCTGACACTTCCTAGGAGAAAAAAAATGTCAGAAGTGATCAGAGCAGCCAGCTGGAAGGGGAACTGGACTGGCACTGGCCAAACTGGGGATAGTCCAGTGGGTCCATCCACACATAACCCTTCCAGTTAGCAAAACTGGGCACTTGACTTACCCTTTCTACATGCTGGTGTAGCAGCTGTGCACTAAATACTCAGAGAGAAATATATCCAAAATTGCTCTCTGAGTTCATTGGATGAATATGAAAATTTACCGCCATTAAGACTGACCTTTTCTCTTTTTGTGTTTTTTAGTTTTCTACTAGTGTTCTCCTGCCTGGTGCTGTCTGTCTTTTCCACCATTGATGAGTACCAGAACAGCTCAGAAGGGGCTCTTTACATCCTGGTAAGTGGGGGCTGACAGTGAGGTATTAAAATAAGGTCAAAACCACAAAAAACCCTGAGACAGGGGGTGTTTGAGGCAAGAATTTAAGCTGCCCCTTGTGAGAAGGGGACCACTCAGTCCTGTGGGTTAGGAATGGGAAAAATTTTTAAAAATCTGGGGTTGCTGAATTCACCATGTCCTCTCCTTCTGTCTGTTTTCCTCTTCCCCATTCCTGCCCTACATCAAATCAAAAGGTGCTCCAGACTAATTAGGGCTTCACTGGGTTTGACACATGAGAAAGGTGAGACAAGATCTCAGAGGGAAGGGGGCATTCACAGGATATTCAGGTGGAGATGGAAAGAGCTCGTGTGGCGTCAAGGGATGGAGGATTTACACCATGCCTGCACCAGATCTCCCAGCACACACAGGCAACCAGCTGAAAAAAGCCAGGGAAAAAGCTGAAATCCCCTTTTGTCATCCTCTAGAATTATTCCTGTTCAGTGATTCCCATCTCTGCTCTTCCCTCTGCATTAACTGAGTTGAGTCCAGGAGACTGGTGGTAGAGAGACAGCGAGGTGTTGATCAGTCCTGTGGTGGGGGAACAAGCACAATATGAGGAGGTGTAAAACTCCAGTTCATGACTACAACGTGCAGCACCTCTCAGCACACTGGGGAGGAGGAGGGAAGACACAGAAGCAGAGATCTGATGATCTCTCCAGCCTGGGCTCTCTGTCGAGTGGTGCAGACTGCTCAGTGCTGCATTTTTCCAAGGTCGTGGGTTTCTCCTGGATTCTGGAGCACGCTCTCCACCATCCTTTTTCCCCCATTAATGGCACTGTCCTCCTTCTCCTCGCAGGAAATTGTCACCATCGTGGTGTTTGGGGTGGAATACTTTGTGCGGATCTGGGCCGCCGGCTGCTGCTGCCGGTACCGGGGCTGGAGGGGACGGTTGAAATTTGCCCGCAAGCCTTTCTGTGTCATTGGTAAGAGCTGAGTGCCTGCGTGAGATTCCCCAGTCTGGGATGGCCATTCCAAGCACTGGCTTGCGTGGTGCTCCAGTGTCTTGCATGTGTTTTGGGGGTTAAATTTCAGCTGCTTCATGCTCACCTTGAGAAGGGGAAAAAACCCCAAAGGCAGAATCCATGTCCTAATCCATGGCCATGCTTTTTGTTATTTGTCACAGGGCTCTCCCTGTTTTCTGCTGGCCTGGGAGCCATCCCAGTGCCCTGCATACCTCAAGTGTCACTGACAGCTGTCCACAGCCACAGAAACAGGGTTGAGCCAGGAGAAGCTGAGCACAGGAATCTGGAATCCTGCAATCCTGCGTCCAGCCTCCACACCAAATTGTTCCCAAGTCATTGAGACTCCGTGTCTCACTTTGCCTTCCCTGGTGCTGATGAGCTGCCTCACAAGGGAGCTGTGAGACTTAATTAATTATTGTTTGTAAAGCACTCAGCGAGTCTCCTGTGAGAGAGGCCATCTGGGCACAGCAGTGATATTTTCTGGGATTAGAAGTGGACAGAGTGGCCATGCCCTTCACTATGGAGGCTGCTTTTGGGAGCTGGCAATGGTCATGTGCAGGATTTCAGTTTATTCCACAGAAAAACACTCCTATAAAATTTGTGTAGCAAATCAGAGAAGAGGAAAGTTTATGTAATTAGGGCTTCACTGGGTTTGACACATGAGAAAGGTGAGACAAGATCTCAGAGGGAAGGGGGCATTCACAGGATATTCAGGTGGAGATGGAAAGAGCTCGTGTGGCGTCAAGGGATGGAGGATTTACACCATGCCTGCACCAGATCTCCCAGCACACACAGGCAACCAGCTGAAAAAAGCCAGGGAAAAAGCTGAAATCCCCTTTTGTCATCCTCTAGAATTATTCCTGTTCAGTGATTCCCATCTCTGCTCTTCCCTCTGCATTAACTGAGTTGAGTCCAGGAGACTGGTGGTAGAGAGACAGCGAGGTGTTGATCAGTCCTGTGGTGGGGGAACAAGCACAATATGAGGAGGTGTAAAACTCCAGTTCATGACTACAACGTGCAGCACCTCTCAGCACACTGGGGAGGAGGAGGGAAGACACAGAAGCAGAGATCTGATGATCTCTCCAGCCTGGGCTCTCTGTCGAGTGGCGCAGACTGCTCAGTGCTGCATTTTTCTGAGGTCGTGGGCTTCTCCTGGATTCTGGAGCATGCTCTCCACCATCCTTTTTCCCCCATTAGTCGGGGCCAAGTGCATGTGCTGTTGGTCAGGAGACAGCCACGAGATTTTGTTCAGTTGAGTGTTTGTGCAGTTTCAGTTTAGATGTAGTGGAATATATGATAGAATAATACAGTATAATAAAGTAATTAATTAGCCTTCTGATATCATGGAGTCCTCCTCATCCTTCTTCCCTTCATCCAGGGGTTGCCTGTTTTCCGATCTGGCAGTGCTTCCTCACCTTTCCCTGCCCTGTGTTCCCACAGACATCATGGTGCTGATCGCATCCATCGCCGTGCTGGCAGCGGGGTCCCAGGGGAACGTCTTTGCCACCTCAGCACTCAGGAGTTTGAGGTTCCTGCAGATCCTGCGCATGATCCGCATGGACCGGCGCGGCGGCACCTGGAAGCTCCTGGGCTCTGTGGTCTACGCGCACAGCAAGGTGAGCAGGGCCCAGGCAAGGACGTGGAGCTGCTCTTCGTGTTCTCCCCACCACGGACACTGCTTTGGTTCAGCTCTCCATCCCAAAGTTCTGCCAGGCCTGGGGAGATTGGAAGGACACCGTAGGTAGCACAGGGGAGCAGCACAGGCAGAGACACAAGGCCTGATGGAGTGCTCCACCGGTCAAGAAGGGAAGGGATAGAGAGATTCCAGTCATGGAACCAATCCCCGGTGTGAGGGCATCAGTTCGGGAAGAGGTTGTTGTTAGTTTTTTGCTTCCTGATGCTGTATTTATGATTTTAACATTTCTCCTGCTTCTTTCACTTTCTTTTCCCCAGAGAAAGCCAGCTTCTCCAGCACTGTGTAAAAATCACAGGAAATTTGTGTGTCTCCTTTGTCCATCCTTGTACTAATCTAATCCAAAAAGAATCACTGCTGTGAATTCTGAATTAAAATTTGGGAGATAGTCCATCCAGACCCCAACTTCACAGCTCCTCTTTTAGTGGTTTGGACCTGCCCTAAGCAGAATCCCCAGAGATCTGGGGGTTCCTATTTCAGTTTCAACTCCACTTCCCTATGTGAACTGGGGAATTATCAGAGTTTATAAAGTCTCAGTTCCAGTTGTTGCAATAATGGAGCTCTTAACCCTCCCTTCTTCATTTGTTTGGATGATTTGGTATTCAGGCCTGGCAGAGCCATGGTCCTATCACAGAAAGTGCCATCACTGATCTCCAGCCAAAGCCCCAAAACCTAAACAAGTGCAGGGCAAGTTCAGATCCAGCAGCAAGCAAGAAACTCAGTGTTTGGAGATGCACACTAGGGCTGCAATTATTCTCTTCTTTCTTTTAATGATCTCACAGGAGCTGATTACTGCCTGGTATATTGGCTTCCTGTGCCTCATCCTGGCCTCTTTCCTGGTGTACTTGGCCGAGAAGGGAGAAAATGAGCACTTTGATACATACGCAGATGCACTCTGGTGGGGTCTGGTAAGTAATTTCCATAGAGCAGCTGCTGGTTATTAAAATAAAATGTCCATTAACCCTCCATCTTCTATCACTTACGTGAGGTATCGACTTAGAGAGTGCTTAGTTAACATTTTTATTAAATGGCCTCAGGCTGTTCCATTTAGCTCTTTTTTTTACATAAACCTCATAGAAATGGTTAGGGGATCACGTTTCTGAATTGGCTGGAGCTGCAGGGGAGCTGAGGACTGGTGTGTTCCCACTCGTGGGATTGAGCTCTGTCATGACAGAGGCAGGTCAGAGAGAGATCCCACACCACGGGACGCTTTGATCATTGTTTTGACAAGTATTGCTGCCCTTTAATTATTTAAATTGCACTTGTGCAAGGTGCTGTCAAATACCCTGGAATAAATTTCATAAAATTAATAAGGCCTAAGTAGCAGAAAGGCTCCAGTGGGGCAAGCACTCCCTGTCACATTTCTGCTGAAAGGGCAGTACTTGTTGTTTGCTCTGTGTGTGTGTGTGTGCATGTGAATTATTGGATTACCCGATTAACAAAGAGAGAATTAATGACATTCTAATCTTCTTGCATTATTGTTCTTCTGCTCCATCACTAGTTTGGCCTTGATTACAAAGCATGTAATGAAAATCCCCTATCTGATCAAATCCCAATAACAGGCTTGGGGAGGAATCAGCTGATCAAGCAGCTCCTCCATTCCAACAAAGGGAAAGAGGCAGTAAATTGCTTTTCAAGCCCCTTAGTTATGACAGAAAAATAAAAAACAAAGCCCAATTTGTCATAACGAGAAAATAAACAATTAAAGAAAAGTGACAGCCCAGATTAGAACTCAGTCTGGGGAGAACCATGGGCAGATTTATCCCTTCTGCTTCTGAGACTGTTTTGCCATTGAGAAGTTCAGGAAAAAAATTGAACTTCATTAAAATAAACAGTTTTTATCAGAGTCCAGCTCATGGATCCAATATGGGCAGATGCTGAGAGATGGGACAAACCAAATTTCAGGTTCAGAAGCTCATCCCTTGGTTTACCTTAGTGTATCCAATGCTTCTTGTTGTCTATAGAAATTACAAAAATATTGTAAACCAGCTTTGCAGTGATTATGGAGAGAGCCTTGCTCCGACTCTGCATTTCAGTAAGGATTAGCCACATTGATGCATTTTTTAACCACTTGTTCAAAATAGCATCTAATTGATAAGGCTTTTAGTGGGCCCAATTAAAAGGCGCTTTGGGATCCTACTTCCATTTGTGTAAAAGTGATTTTTTATTCTAAATGGAATGCATGTTTCCAATGCCACATCAGCATGGTGTCAGTTCCCATCCCTGGGGCCAGCGCTGTCCATGGAGGCTGTGTGATGGGGACAGCCTTTGAGATCAGAAGTCCCAAAGATGTCTCTAATCAGACCATCCCTCTCTGCCTTGTCCTGCCAGTCCCAGGCTCTCCAAATCCTCTTGGAAGCCTTGAGGTTATAGCCAGCATTTCCCACTAGTGATATCCATGGACTGAAGTGGGAAAACGTGTCTTTCCCTGCTGTTTGAAATTCAAGGGACTCTGTCTCCAATAAATCTCTCATGTCCTTCCCCAAAATACAGGCAGCAGCTTGCCAGCTCTCTCCTGGTGCACTGCAATAGCACAAAACCCATCTCTAAATGAGGTGGTGTGAAGGAGCCGTAATTCATCCTCTCAGCCTAACAGGCTGTTGTTAAATAGGGGAGTGGAGACCAGCTGATGGGCACTGCTGGGAAGGCTGGGAATAAACAGCAGCAGGCCTTTGTGCATGCCAATAGCTTTCCTGAGCTGCCGAGAGGCACTTTGGGGGAACGGAGCCGGTTCGCTTCTCCTGCCGAAGGCACAGCCCCTCCTGGGGGAGGTTCCGAGCCACCGCCAGCCTCTGCACCAGATGGCAGCTCTCTCTGTGACAGCAAAAGGCACCAAAACGCTCCCAACTGGTGTGAAACCCAGCACGTGAGCAGGACGGGTGTCGGGGTGTCTCTGCATCTCGTGGAGCTGCCCATCCCTGCTGGTCCCCGAGCTGCACCGTGCCTCGCACAGCTCCGGGTGCACGGTGACCCGGCTCCTCGTGTGCCACTCGGCTCTTGTGGGAGTTTTGGCTGCCTTGTTTCAGTTTTGAGGCTGTCTGACCAAGGGCTGGGCACTGATCTCCTCCCTGCAGATCACTCTCACCACCATTGGCTACGGGGACAAGTATCCACAGACCTGGAACGGGCGGCTGCTGGCGGCGACCTTCACACTCATCGGCGTCTCCTTCTTCGCCCTTCCTGCTGTAAGTGTGTGCTGAGCTCACCTGAGCCTTGTCCCCAGCCCCTGGAGCTGGTGGCACTCTAACAGCTGTGATGTGATGAACTCAAGAGACCTCCTGACTCTAATGCTCTGTGGCTTTTGAGTCAGACAATGAGGGAGAAAAATGGAAAGCCTGTTTGAATATCCACAACTTGGGAATCATGTGCATGAGCAAATAGGATGGGAACTCTAGATTTGGCTCTGCACAAATATTTATGGAAGTAATAAAAAGCATTTTTTTCCCCAGAAGGCTGTTCCTTGGGGTAATTAATGACTTTAAGATGAAGGAGGGTAGGTTTAGATTGGATATTAGGAAAAAATACTTTCCTGTGAGAGTGGTGAGACCCTGGCACAGGTTGCCTAGAGAAGCTGTGACTGCCCCATCAAGGCCAGGCTGGACTGGGCTTGAAGCAACCTGATCTAGTGGAAGGTGTCCCTGCCCATGACAGGGGGTCAGAATGAGGTGAGCTTTAAGGTCCCTTCCAACTCAAACCAGTCTGTTATTCTGTGATTACACCATTTCAGCAAATTCCTCCTGTCCCTTTGGCAGTGCATTTCAATGTGTTGCAGATAGGGATTCCAATGGGGGTAATCTGCTGAATGCCAGCACTCTGGGGTTCTTTTGTATTTTATCACTTGGCTGGAGGTAGTTTGGGAAAATTTGCAATTCCAGTGAGTGCCAGCAAAGTCTGCTGCCCCTTGGAGAGTGTATGCCATGGCTACCAGAATGGAGGCTCCCTTCTTCTTCTATGTTTGAATCAAAAAATGAGGAAAAAACCTTTGGAGGAAAAGCTGGCCACAATTTTTAAGTGGAAGCTTAACTGAACCCCTGCTAGTGGCAAATTCTTGTTCTTTTCCCCAGGGCATCTTGGGTTCGGGATTTGCTCTGAAGGTTCAAGAGCAGCATCGACAAAAGCACTTTGAGAAGAGGCGAAACCCAGCAGCGGGCCTCATCCAGGTGAGGGTCACATCCAGGGAGCCTTGTGGTGACACCATCCTGGTTTTAGGGGGCTTCACAGACTTTTAGAAGTTGGGGAGGAGAAAAATGGGGCCTTGTGTGTAAGGTGTGAGACAGCAGCTGGTGACTGGTTTTGTCTGGGAATAAATGCCAGAAAATCAGCTATGGGAAAACAGCATATGTGGTAGGGAATCTAGAGAGAAAAGGGATGGAATTCAGCAAGCAGCCAGCTCAGCAAGACAAATGCATTAGGACAGTCTGTTTTCACCCTTTTTTTCTCCCCAAAGAGAATATTTATCCTGATTTAAAGGTACAGTTGGGAGCACTTTCTTCACGAGAACAGATGTCCGTGCAGAAGGCTTGCCTAGTTGTATGTCTTGGAGAATTGAAATTAGTCATTTTACATTCCCCTGCTCCTCTCTCTCCACATTTTTCACTTCTTAATGGGCAACAACATCCATCCTGACCTCAGCCTGGCAGTGAATGCCTGGGACCTGCAGCATTTTTAACTGGACACACATGGTCAGGAGTATGATGGCACCACCCCAAGTTTGTCACTTATCAAATCAAGAGGAAGGCAGAATGCTGGATCCATCCCATAGGACTGGGTGTTGGTTGAGGTTTATAAACCCAGGGGTGGTTCTGGCCATGCCTGGGTGCACAATCCCAGTGGGTTTTCTCTTGCACAGGCGGCTTGGAGATTTTATGCCACCAACCTGTCCCGGACAGACCTGCACTCCACCTGGCAGTACTACGAACGCACCGTCACTGTCCCCATGTACAGGTACCTCCTCCTCCAGCTTCCTCCTCCACTGCCTTCCTCGTGATGCCACTGTCTCCATAGTTATTTTTGTTATCTGAATATATAATTTTGCTTATTTATTTACTTTTTTTTTGTGGTTGAAAAGTTGATTTTGATTTCCTAAGGGCTGGTATATGCTTTTGCAGTTTTTTTTTTTTTTTTTGCTTTGTATTTTTTCATTGTTTTTATTTTTGACTTGATTTTAATTTCCGTGTTGCTTTGTGTTTTCTTTTTTTCTTCCCATGTCTTTGTGTGTGTACATGCTCTTCTTTTCACCTTTATTTCTCCACGCCTGCTGGTAGTTGCATTGTGTTGTGACAGTTGCCGTGCCCAGGTGTGAAGACTTCCCTCCAAGCTGCCCTGGATCATAGGTAAACACCACCCTCACCCTACCTGCAGCTCCTTGTGTCCTCTCAGGATCTCCTTGCTGGTCCAACTGGTCTCTAATGGTCCTTCTGCCTTTCAGCAAACTTCTCTCCCACCCTTGACCAGCCTGGCCCTCTCCCAGGTGCATTTTCCCTGGGTCCTCCTTTCCTTTCTTTTCCTTTTTTATCTCTAAGAGGAGGAAAACTAACTCAGGATTCAGGGAGCGTTTTCCCATTTCTTGTATCTCATTTATCCATCCCAGGGAGTTGACACAAGCAGGGAATGACGTTGGAGCTGTGATGGATGAGGCTGCTGAGCACCAGAGTGTTTTAGCAGTACCCACCTGCCTTGCTCTACCTGCAGTAAAACCAGGCAGGTTTTTATGGTGAAACCACACAGGTTAGAGCAGTGCTGTGGAAATTCACAGCCTCCTGGGATTTGGAGCTTCATGGAGCTGGGGACAGAGTCCGCTGCCATGCCTCCCAGCCCTCCAGGACATGGGGAAGCACTGCATCCTTCATGTCCCCTTCGGGCCTGGTGGCTTCTTCAGAAGCTAAAATGCACAATGTTCTATTCATTTTCACCCCACACCTCCCTGTATCCTGGGCAGGGCCATGTGCCCCTTCCTGGTGTATTTTTAGAGCCTATCCGTGACTCTCTGTGTTTGTAGAATAGTTGGATATGTTTGTTAGATGTTCCTGTAGCTCTGTGGGCTTTTGTTGGGTGTGATGGGGCTCCCTGTGCCCCATCTCCGTGCTCCCATGCAGGGCTGTGGCCCAGCACTGGGCTGTGCCACTGCAGGAATAATCCCTTCCTGATTTCCCATATTACTGGTGCCTTCTAGCCCTCAGGCAGACAGCCTGGATGTATTTCCTGGGGTAAGCTTTAGCCTGTAATTCACACACAGCAGCCAGCCTCTTAGCCCATCATAAAAACCTGTTGGAAGTCCCATTGTTGTGGTCAGTAAGTTCTCATTGGATTCATTCCCAGTGTGTGTCTGATTGGTTGCTTTTTCCCTAGAAATTTATGAACCAACTTGAAGATTTTATCTAAAAAACCCAAACAACAACAGCAACCCAACAGAAGAGAGCAAAGCTGTTTTCCAATAGCATTAAACCCACCCATTGAAACTCTCCCTCCCAGTACCTGACCCTCTGGCTGTACCTTTGCAGCACTGCCTGGGATCAGCTACTGGAGAGGATGAGGATGGAGCTTGGCCCAAAATCCGCTGCAAAATGCAGGCACTCAGGGCTTGTTTTCAGTGGACTTTGCCAGATTTTACTGCTCTTTGAAATACTGAACTTACCATGCAGCCAGACATGCAGTGACACCCTTTTGATTACCTGTTACACAACCCCCTTGTTAGAACCTGTATTTCCACAGAGCTAATATGCAGGAGGAAATCTGAGCTAAAGATCTCCAGAAAAGGCTAAATAGAAACTCTGGGGAGGAGAAAGAGGAAAAAAATGTAGTTTGGAGAGCCTCTTATCTTGAGTAAAAAGCCAGGACAGATTTGTAGCAGGGTTGTAGCAGTTTTGCTGGCTGCTGCTGTGGGTTCTGCTCAGCCCCACACAGCAGTGTCACCCTGGGCTTCCTTAGAAATGGATTTCTCTGAACTCTCAGCTTTTCCCTTAAATCCCAGCTCCTGTTTGTGCTCAGATCAAGTGAACATCACTTGGGTGAGTGAGCTGTGTGTGCACCCATGGATTCAGCCCTCAATGAAATTGTTTTACCAAAAACCAGTGAACTCCTGGTTATATTTTGAACACTGTCAAATAAATTAAGTGGATTTTTTTTATTTAAGAAAAAAGGGAGTAACTGTATGTTCTGGCTGCAGCTTGCATCACTCTCACTGACCATCTCTCCTTGCCTCCCCACTTCCCCAAGCCAGCTGCAGGCACTGGCAGCCCTGTGCTGCTGCTGCAGCCACAGCAGCACGTCAAGCCCAGCACCCTCTTAAGGCTGTGGCTGCTGACATGTGGCTGCAATGCACAGTGTGGTGTGGAAGTGGGCTAGAGGAACACAAAATCCCCTCTCTGGTGCCTGGGGATGATCTGCAGTCACCACTACCTCGGCATCCTTTCTGCTCAACACTGAGCTGCTCATTCCTCATAGCAGGAGCCTGTGCCTTTAGCTCATCTCTCTTCCCAAGGCATCTCTGGAAAGGCTTGGCTGCTTGATGTGAGAAAATTGTTACACATGCCTTGGAGGAGCTTATATGGCTCCAGAGCATCACTCCAATCACTGCAGTAGAGCTACTCTGATTTGTTTGGGGGAAAATATGGTGGCCTCTGAGAGAATCCCAGATTTCATCTTCAAATCCAAAATGTGGCAGAACCAAATTCTGAAATATGCACAGGGCTTCTGTGTGTGCAGGTGTGGTTTGGGTTGTGATGCACGAGTTGGCTTGGTGCACCCAGACATCATAAATAACCTGTTCTGCGTCAGCCACTGGATTTATTGGGAAAAATATCTGCTCTTACTGTCACTCATGAGAGCAGGGCCCTGCTCTGAACTGCTGTCCTGTATTGGCCTTCACTGAAAAAACCAAACCCGTGGGCACATCCTGCCCGTTCAGCAGCCCAGCCCAGGGTATCCCTGGCTGGTGGAGCCAAGGGCTGTGGACGTCCCATGGAAGGTCTCTGGGAGGCCCCCACACTTTCCCTGCCCCGTGGTGCCCATTTGCTCTCAGAGCAAGGTGCCAGCTGCCTGTCCCCGAGGGTGACACGGGCGTGCCATGGCTCCTGAGCCAGCCACAGCGGGAGCCAGCTCAGTCCATGCTCCTGTGCCCACCTGTGGGCCTGGCCACAGCATCTGCTCCCGGGGACACACTTCGTTCATATGCTAATTTTCTTTATTCTGTTTCTTTCCCCCTCTCCTCCACCCCAACTTCCCCCCCTGTTTTTCTTTCTCTTACCCCTTTGGTTTTCTTTGGTGAAAACACTTGAAAAGCACGCAAACGCAAACGTATGGTGCCTCCAGGTATGAAGTGCATGTGACTCTGAAAGTGTGTGTCATGTCACTCCTTGTTCTTCATTTGGGACTGTAACATGCAAAGCCTTGAATTTTAAAAAAAAAACCCAAAAAACAAAACAACAAAACAACACAAAAAAAGAGACAGAAACCTTTGAAGATGAGTTTTTTTTCCCTCATGAGTGAAAGCCCAAAGCAGACACGCCCTGCTGCTGCTACAGACTAAACCCTGCACCTCCATGTACATTTTAGCTATTGGTACACACAAGTGTTGGGAAACTGCCAAAATGATGATGTCAGGAAGGAGAAGGGGAGCGTGCTTGATAAGCTTGCTTTGTTAAGGATGATTTCTTGATGGTCTTTCCAACCTTCCCTGATCCATGCAATGCTTAACAAGAAAACATCCCCATTCATCTTCCATTGCCCTCTGCCCTCAGTCCCATGTGTTCCCTCTCTCCAGCCCTCTTCTCCCATCCTTCATTGTGTCATTTATCTGGCTCTGAGCTGCAGGAGTTGTGCCCACCTGGCACTGAGTTTGCTGGTGTGGTGGCACCACAGGGCACATCAGTGGTAGCACAGAATAAACCTCCAGAGCAGCTGTGCCTGCTTTTGAGGGTAAAACCTGGAGAAGAGAAGGATCTGGGATGTTAAACTGATATGATAATTCATTTTTTCGAGTAATCCATCTGTTTTTTTGGTGAAAGAATGCTTCATCTCAGCAGGACTTTTCCATTTCAGTTTTTAGTTCCAAGACCCACCTAGAGCTAAGCAGTTATTAGCCACAGTTATTCAATCTGGGACTTAACCTTTTGGGATCAATCCAAATGCAAAGTCTTGGATATGGCTGTGTAAGATTTATGATAAATAATATTATCTCAGGTTCTGCAGAAAGGAGTAGATTTGCAAATCACAGGAGTATTTTATATGAGATAGGTATCTGAAGGTGTAGTCAAGTTAATATTTTAAGATGGGGAATAAATGACTTTCATTTCAAGACTGCAGGCCAAGCTCTGTTCTTAGAGCAGTTTAAATCCTCCCTAGATGCAGTAATGCCACTAGAGCTGATGTAATTTAGTGTCTGATTTCGAAACCCAGTTCCAGTTTTCACAGATGCAAGTTTTACAGCCTTAGTAAATCACACTTACTGCTCTGTGTGCTTAATTTATAGCAAATTGCATCAATGAACTGCAAGTATAATATTAAGAATATATTTTCCTGTTGTACTGAACAACAGCCTGTTTTGAGAATCAGACATTTTTCTACTACTGGGAGAGGAATAAGAATGTGCCACTTCTGTTCCATTTGTTGTAATGAAGTATTTTATAAGCTTCACAAATGTTCTCAGTCATGAAAAATAGCTTCAATTGGAGACATAAAGTCAAGGTTAGGGCAAAAATTGGCTGCTCATAGAAACTCCAGCACTGCATGGAGGCTCATTTAGGTTCCCATCCCATTCCAGCACCATTCTCCTTGTCACCGTCTCCTTAACTGTTCATCCTGGGACTGTTCCAAAAAATCATCGTGGCGTCCGCGAGCGTGTCGTGGTGTGTCCGTGTAGCTCCCACCGTGTCGTGTGCTGCTGCCCTCCTCGTGTTGTGGGCTTCTGGTGGTGTCCTGGCCCGAGGCATGACCTCCCTCCTGTCCCCTAATGCTTGAACAGTTCTCTGTGCTCCCAGGAACAGCGGATCCTCCTTTCCCTGCGGATACGGGAGCCGGCACCTGGAGTTAGCGCGGCCTTTCTCTGTGCTGTACTGGGAGGGGTGGTGGAGGCAGCTGGGGGGACCTGCAGCAGCTCAGAAGTGTTGCTGTGGTGGGTGGCATGAGCTGTGTGTGTCCCGTGGTGTGCACATTCCTCAGCCAGCTCCCCCTTAACCGGAACGCGCTTCCCTTGCTAACCAGTGACACACGGACCAGGAGGAGAGAGAGAAAACATGAGGAGCCCCGGCCAGAGGTTCCTCCTGCACCTGGCATGGTGGCACCTGCGTCCCCTGTGCCCTGGGCAGCGTGCTGTGCACCTAGCATTCCGCAGCAAAGCTCAGTTCTGAGCTGTGCACAGTTCTGCCTTTTTTCTGTTTTTTAAGGTTCTGGAGAAATGGTGTGGTGCAGTGGCTGCTCTTGCAGTGACAGGTTAGGCTGAGCACTTAGCTGAGATGAAATTGCAGGTCAAGTATATGTTTTCACTCATTTTTGATGATAATTATTTCATTAAAATACTGGTTTTTTCCACCTCGTGTACCAGGCCCATGAACCAACCACAGAAATGGTGAATTTCTGTGTTTGTTTTGTCTGTACTTCCTCATGGAAGCATCTGTGGTAGCCCAAGAGGCGGCCACCTTCAGCACACTGCAGACCATGGGCTGATGCAAAAGAAATCATTCCTTTTGGAATCCTGAATCCTCCAAACTTTTGAGCTAATGAGCTCCTCAACTGAGACTTCCACCAGTGAGAGCCCGGGATTTGCAATCCCAGCTGGAGAAAATGGGATGATTTTCCTGTGTTCTGCTGGGTATGGACCTCCCTGGGGAGTTAATTCACCAAAGAAGAGCTGTGCACCCTTCATTACCTGCTGAGTACACCCTGTGCTGGATTTATGCACCACCTCTGCCAACCTGGAATGCATCTCCAAACCCAACTGAAGGGAGGTGACAGCCCAGCGCTCATGCACAGCTCCACTGCATCAAGGTCAGCTTCTTCCTGATGTCTGGAATGAAGTGGATCATTAATTCAGCAGATCAGGATGTGCTTTTCTCTGGATGGAAGCGACTGAGGAGCTGAGCCAAAATTTTTCAGGCCTATTTTTACTCTTTTCTCCATACTTAGAATTGGAAAATTTTCTGATTGCCTCAATCTTGTGAACACAAAATCTCTGCTGAACCACTGTGGTTTTGAGGATAAGTTTTGTGCCTGCAGAGAAGAAGCTTTTCCAGTTGAGTTGGATTTTTTTTTAGTTAAAGTGTGAAACTATTGGTCTCATCATGACTGAAAGAATGCGGGCATGAATATCTCTCCCTTTATTTTAATAGAAGCCTCATTTCTTACAGTCTCCTCCTGACACCTCCATCCCATGTTTCTCTTGGTTGAAACCTGGCTGGGAATATCAATATTAAATATTTATAGCAATCCCTCCTCTCCCAGGGTCTCAGGGAAAAACCCAAAAATAGATGTGGAGCTAATTCAATGGCTTTTAAGCACAAAAGCAGGATTGGCCACAGGATGTTTTTTCACTGGATTTTTAATTCTTAACAGGATTTCCATTGTCAGATTTTTTAATTTTTTTTTTTTTTTTTTAACTGAGAAGGGAAGGAAGCCCTATGTATTCTGGAAGGCAATGACCCAAGATTTTTGTCTCATTTTAGGGCAAAACCTGACATGGAGAGTAGGGAATTGGTTAAACTTGACCCTGTAGCACACTGCTCTTTCTCCTGGGATGCTCCCAGCCCCAGGTCCTTGTTTTCTCTGCTCCACAAGCTTCTCCTTCCCATGCCTTCCCACGCCTTCCCACATTCCCAAGAGCAGCAGGGTTGAGTTTTCCTATTTCCCCCCAAAGCTGGAGTTTCTCTCCATTTAGCAATGCCAACCTGCCAGACTACAGCTCTGCCAAAACACCACCGGGCTGCCCAGGAACCCTGGCAGCAGCTTGGATTTGGGGAGGTTCAAATTCCAGTGGTGCAGACAAGTTTCTCTCTCTCTCTCGCTGTCACTTTCTCTCTCTTACCCACTGCTCTGCCTTAGGACACTGTTGGAAGTAGCAGCCAAACCCCTCTCCATCCTTCCTGAGCTGTCCCCCCGTTGCAGTTGGTGGCTCAAAGCTGGTTCTGGTTGAAAGGATGGGGCAGCAGGGGAAGTTGCCGAGACAGGAGGCTCCGGAATCAGCTCTGTCTGGATATTAATGCCTGTTGTTTTCTCCCTCTAGACTCATCCCTCCTCTGAACCAGCTGGAGCTCCTGAGGAACCTGAAGAGCAAGTCGGGACTGACATTCAGGTTAGCAGCAGAGTTAAGAGAGTTTGGAACGCACACACTTTGCAATATTTTTGGTTTTTTTCCTTTTTTTTTTCCTTTTTTCCTTCCTGCCTTTTGCATATGGACATCCTTGAAGAAGAAAGAGGTTTGACAGCTGGTCCCACATGGGTCACTCAGTGACCTCCTCCCTGCCCCTCTCCTGTGCTCTACATGAATTCCTTCAGCCTAACTTGGCTCTGGAGCAATGTCACGGTGCTTGACTGACAACTCAAAGCCATATTCTCAAAGGGGCTGATGGAGGTAGTGATCCCAGTCTTCCTCTGACCTTTCAGCTCCTCACCACTCTCAGAGGACACTCAGGCCCATGATGTGTTAATGCATTCTCTGTTCCCTCCAGTGACAGCAGGCAAGGTTGCAGCAGTGAGACATTTTTGCTAAATTGGCTGTGGAAGGGTTTACATGAATCCCCCAGAAGAGCAGGGGTCCTGCACCTTCACCCTCTGCTTGGGAGGGGTAATTCTTGAGGTTTTTGAGCCCTCAAGGCTGCCCTGTTGGTGAATGGGGAGTGTGCAGACCCTGGGAGGGATGGAGAGGTGCCAGTGGGCATCGGGGCCAGCTGGGGGCTGTGGGATGGGGCCAGCCCTGGGCTGTGTGCCTCCACAAAGAATACCCCTGGGTCAGCCTGAAAATTCTAAAATGTGAGTATTTGAGCTAGTGACTGAGGCTGGGCTTCCAAGCTTTTCTGGGCAAGAAGCAGAGGTGGGGGGAAGGAGATTTTTCTTAGTCTCTCCAGGCTGCTGCCTTTAGCTGAGGGAGAGGGATCAGGCTCTGTGCAGGTCTCAGTGGCCACTGCTGAGCAGCATCAGGGGCAGGGCTGCTGCAGCATCACATTCAGAGGGCACCTGTGTTAGGGGAGGCAGAGCTGTATCTGCTGAGAAAATACTGTCTGCTCCCTCTCTGGGGGGCTGCAGGGGCAGGGCTGGTCGAGGGTCCCACTAAACACCATTCCCCAGTGTAGGAATTGTGAATCAGAGCAGCTTTCCTCATTGCTGGAGGGACATACCACCACAATGCCTGCCCAGTGAAGGGGAGGGGTGTTTTTCAGTGTGGCCTTAGCAGTGTCCTGTCTGCCCTTTTGTAGGCATTCAGCTCACTCTGTCCTCAATGATTTTTCAGGGCAATCCAGTTTTGGGTCACGATATGAAACTGCAAACACTGACTGTGGTGTCCCACTCCCTCCATGTCGCCTTTGCCAACTACTTTGGTAAAGTAGCTGCCAAAGACTCTGGAGGCATAAACCCCAGCTGAGGTGTCAGGATGCCAGGGAAGGGGTCCGTGCTCCTTCCCACCCATGTCCAATCCCAGCACCTGCCGTGAATCCGTGCATTCAGAGATCTGACATGAGCTTTGTCCCCATGGCCAGGGAGGAAAAGTGAATGCACTGAGGTCATGGGAGCCATTCAAACCCTTCCCCATGTGCAAAACATGAGGGCAGTGCATTTCCAAAGGAAGGGGGCTGCTCTCTGAGCCCACGGAAGTCCTCCTGTGCTCACACAAATCACACAACCCTCAGGTGTCTCAGTGGTGCGTAGGCACAAGGATGGGTTGGGATGAAATCTTCAACCCTGTGCGTTGTATGTGTCTTCTCTGAGGTTGTGTGAGTCTCCAGTGATCTTCTGTCCGGGCCAGAAACTCCAGGAATTAAGTGCTCCTTTCCCTTTCTTCTGTCCACAACTTCCACTTAGTTGTATTGTTGGTATTGTCGTTTCGTTATGTTTTAACAGTGAAGCAGCAACATCTTTTGCCACCTGACACCATGCTAATGTACTATTGCTTCTGTTTAAAGGAAAGAGCAGCAGCCCGAACCATCGCCAAGGTCTGTATCACTGCCAACACGCCATCCCCATGCATTCCCTGTAGATTTCTGTGTGTGTGCGTGTGTGTACCATGTCGTGGCACCATCGAGGGAAGCATTCCTAGGTACTACCGTGCTTTTCCTGTGCTGTGCAGTCCGATGTATCTACGTGTATGCTGGACCTTAAATCATATCTTCCCTCCAGTCTGCCTCGGGCTGGAGCAGGGCAGTGAGGCTGGGGAGGTATGGAGAGTGGTGGCAGCACAGGCAGAGCTGGCAGACACTCACGGGGTGACAGCAGGGCTTTGGTTTACGCTTCTTTATTTTATTTTGGTGCTGGGGTTATAGCTGAGTAACTCTGTATAACGCAGGCTCAGTGCGTGCCCAGGGGCAGGTGAGGCTTTGCCTGTGTCTCTGTCACCCGTGCTGGGCAGAGTTGACGTGGGGAGCACGAAGCCATCGCCACATCACCACTTTGGCAACTTCTCCTGAGCTCCTCTCGCTGCAGGGCACGGCCTGGACCTGCTGCTCCGTGGGACACAGGAGGGCTCTCTGGCACGGCACGAGGTGGCATGGCAGAGACACCCCTTGCCCTCCCCATTCCCTGGGGAGGAGGCACATTCCCTGCTCCATCTTCCCTCCACGCCTCGAGCCCACGGTGCAGAGCGTGCTCTGGATCGTGGCGAGCACCTTCCAAGGGCAGCCGTAAATCTCACTTGTGGTAGAGCTTTTCTCCATTCACAACTCCCAGGGAAAGCAGCAGGGCGGGTGTTTGGGATACTTTTAGGACACTCTTCATCCACTTAGAAATATTTAACTCTGGGATTTTTTCGTCCTGTATTTTCCAGTTCTTTTAAAAAATAATTCTGGAACTGAATCTCTTTTTTTTTTTGGCTGATGAGACACAAACTGATGATCAGTGGAGATCATCTGCTTGGCTTTCTGATTTTCCATCTCATTCCTCAAAACACAGCTCACAGCCTAAATTTTGTAAACAATGAATATATTTTTCAGAAGTACAGCTAGAGCCTGGCATTCTGCAGATGTACCTCTCTGCCATGCCTCTTAGCTTATAAGAGGCCAGAAGCTAATTTTTCCTTGGCATAAAAGCCAACCAAAGATATCTGGGTAGATATACTGCTGACTAAAGTGTGGAAAATTTTATCTTTCCTTCCTTCCTTCTCCTTCTCCCCACCCCCCTTTTTTTTCTCTGTCACTCATTTGAGCTTTTCTTTGCAAGCAGAACCTTTTGTAGCACTCCATCTACTTTCCTGCCAAATAACCCAAATCTCCAAGATCATGTTTCAACTATCCAGATTTTGTTTTTGGTTTTTTTTTGCTTAAGTGTAGCTCAAGCGAAGGCAGCCTCCATCCAGCATTATTAAAGCAGGGAGAATTACTTGGGAATGGCTCTCTGGGAGCAGACCAAGGCTGAAATCTTGGCCACCTGGCTGTGGCATCAGGAGGGTCAGAATTTAATCCCAGGGTCTGGCTGCTCTGCTGCCCTGCCTCAGCCAGTAATAAACTTTGGATGCATCAAAGGATAAACCCACATTTCTTACAGTGCGACGAGACAAAATCCCTGTTCAGCCCCATCTGCTCCATAGCCAAAGAAATTTGAGGTCTGACAGTGCCCTACAGGGTTACCCCAGCCAGCATCCCTGCAATCTAATCAGACTAAACAGTCTTATTTCTGAGTCACTAGCCTTATTTCTAATTTTTGAATTTTGGTCCTGTCTTTCAGGGTTCATATTTATTTACTTGACACCTGAAGTTGAGTACAATGTTTCTTCCTAGAGGTTGCAGGTTTTTCCCAGATAATTTTCTACTTTCTCAACCTTATGTCACAGAAAGAAGTAAAAATAGTCCTTCCCTGTGCTTTTTCAGAGTGGTTTTTACTATTTATAGGTTCTTCATCAGAGTCATTTCCAAGTGCTGTTTCCTGCTCCTGTGGTGCATCTGTCTCTTGTGACACTGATGGGTTTTGTTGCTAAACCCCAGCCCAAGGAGGGCTGAAGCTGAGGGTCTGCAGCTGCTGTGCAGAGCTTTAAGGTTTATTCCATATCCTTCACTTCTGCTGCCATGGCAGCACCAAAGCTCCTTCCTTCTGATTTGTTAGGGCAATACCAATTCTACCTGTCCCCACTGTCCTTTTCCTTCCATCTGACGATGCCTTAGCCCTCAGGAAGGAGTTTTGCGTTCAGGGGGGCCCAAATTGCCTATTTTCCCCAATAAAATTTTCTGGATGTTTTACATTCACATCCCAAATCTTCCACCCACTCGAATATCCAGCAGCCTCTCGGTGATGCTCAGTGTGTCATCCTGCCCTTAGAAAAGAGAACTCATCCTGTTTCTCTGCCCACCTGACAGTTAATCACCCACTTGCTGGTGATGCTTCACTCAGGAAGCTCCTGGGAATGAATTGTCTCTCTTAGCAGATCCCAGCTCTACACTCTTACTGCTTCAGCTGGGAAAGGATTTTCCACTTTGCATTTCCGTTGCTGTAAGGAAACATTCTTACACCTGGAGGTAGCTGGATCTTCCTCCTGTTTTAGTGATGTGTAGGGAGTGGCTGATTTCCTATATCCTTCTTTCCATAACCGATACACCCCAACCCCCCTGCAGCAAATGGAACAGAAAGAGCTTTTTCACTATTTTTCACCTCATAATATTTCAATTTAGAGAAGGCATGCTGGCATGGCATATGGGATTATGCTATGCAGGATAAACATTGTCTTGAGAGGTCAGGGAGCATCCCAAGCATTCTGCCAGAGCACAGGGTGGCTCTTGGGGTCCTGCCCTCTGACCCCAGTGCTGCTGTGGCCGTGCTGATTTTTGCCCACACAGCGCTGGGAGAGCTGCTGCCCAGGCTGGGAGGGCACGAGGAGGTGACGGGGTCAGTGTGGCAGAGGCTCAGGGTCACCTGGACTTTCTCTTGGGTGGCTTGTGATTTAGTCTTGGCACAAAATGGGACAGCTGATCTGAGAGACAGGCTATGTCCTTTCTCTGTGGTTTCTGCTTTGTTTTTCCACCACAAGCTTGTCTGCATCCCCATCCCAGTGCTGGGAACGCTCTGTGCTGTCTCGCTTGGGGGCCAGCAGCTCACCTCCCCCAGAGGTGGAGCCTAGGCTGTGATGAGCAGAAGAGAAGCCAGCCTTTTCCTACACTCCATGTACCCCTTTCCCCCTTTTTATTTTCCTCCCTTTAAAAAACCAGATGCTTTCAGAGCCTCCTGTTGCCCATCACTTTGGGTGTTGTGTCCCTGCCCCAGCCAGGCACTGCCCCCTGCCCCTCCCCAGGCTGGCTGTGCTGCCAGGGCACCAGGACCCATCCCACCTCTGGGACAGCACTGCTGCCCTGCAGGGTCCAAACACAAATCCACTCTCCCTCATATCCCCAGGGAAGGGGGCCTGCTCTGTGCTAGGGCTTTTCTCACCCCTCCTGCTGCAGAAAGCCAGCAGATCGGAATGGTAATGGGAGGTGATTACTCTTCTGTTAATCAGGCTGAAAATTAGCTGTGACATCTCGTTTCTGTTTGTTTTGCTTTGATTGTAATGTCAAAAAGACAGACACATGGTTCACCAGGGCTATGGAGGCTTCTGTATGAAATGTGAGCTTCAGATGCTCTTTAACAGATGGTTTGAGAAACATCTGAAGGCATCCACAACCACATTTCTTCCTCTTGCATTTTCAAAAAATACAATTGGGTGAGAAGCTAAAACTTAATGAACCAAATGATCATAATAACACATTCATATCAGAGAAAAAGAAACAGAAGGATTCCAGGGAAGTGGGAAGCTAAAACTCAGATTACTTTGTCCAGCATGAGTTCAGTGCTGTAGGTGATGAGAGGAACCTCTTTGGAGGGTTGTTCTCAGCTGTGGTTTGTCCTTGGCCCCAGTGAGCTCAGCAGGACCTTGGCTGTACTGGGTGAATGCTGGGCTGGGTCCTTGTACCGTGTGTGTTTATCTGTGTGTATATCTCTCTCTCAGTGTGTGTATATGTCTGTCTGAGATACACACAACCCCAAGATCTCTCTTCAGGGGTGTGATTAAGGCTTCTGTACGCACTGGAGGATGCCTTTGGTTGACTCAGTGGGCCCCTGCTCATCCAGCCAAGGATGTCCAAGGTGTCCCAAACCTCTACTGCCCATGGAAACCAGGGTCAATCATGGTTGGGCCACATGAGCCTGGGCTGGTGTTTGGCCTTCTAACCAATTTAACTGGTGTCAGAGACTCATGCTGGGACTGACAGTAATCTGGAAATAATCGGTTGCCTTTAGGGGAGCGGATTATTTGCACGGAAGGAACTGCATCTTTCTGGAGGGACTGCAGAGGAGACTGAGAGGAGAGAAACCCATGTGTCTCCCTGAGGCTCTGCATGCTCAATATCCCATTCCCACGCCAGCTCCAGGACAGCCCTGGTAGCACCACCGGCCCCTGTGGCTGCCTGGGGATGCAGGATCCCTTTGTGGACACCTGAGGAGTCCCCAGGATGCCGAGGGTGGTGTCAGCTGAGCTTGCATGGGATGCTCTGCCCGTGAGCTCCTCTGATGACCCAACTCAAGTGTAAAACAAGACTGGGATTTGATGCCCTTCAGCCTTTCCAGTCTGCCCCTGAATTCGGCAAGAGCTGCCTGCTGGTGGTTGGTGGCCTGGTGGGGTGATGGGGCCACGTCATTCCCCTTCCACAGGTAGAGGGCTGCTCCATGGCGTGGAGGACCCTGGTGCTGGTGGGGATCTCCTGGCAGGGCAGTGCCTGAGCAGCCATTTGGGATGGAGCTGTGGTGGTGCCTCCTCAAAGTCAGCAACTCCCCAGAAGTGGTAGGGCCTGTCTGAAAATCATTACAAAAACCAGAAATGTGAACACAAGTGTTCAACTCCCTTCCCATAAGGGACTGCACCACACCCTGTTTTTGTCGATTTTTTGGTTTTTTTCAATGCCAGGCTTAATAGAATGGTATTTTCCTTATCAAATAATTCACAGATTAACTAGCTCTCTTTCTGAGTGGGTTTTTTTTT